ACAATTTTATATCAAACTTATTGAGATACATATATAAAATAGTAATTCAATAAAATTTTGAATGTGAGTCAACAAACGTGATGACATGGCATATGACCCATGTTGGTAGGGTTAAGTTAATTTTTTTTTTCACTTTTTCTATGATATTACTAACTGTAGCTGTTATTTTCAACTGATACTATATAATCTATAGTACACTACAATGAAATGTTTAAAATTAAATCATAGGAAAAATGTACATACTTTTTAATATTTGGTGAAATAATCTTAAAACATCTTTTTTTGCATGTTTACATTTTCACATATAAATTATTATCCTTTCGTGTCCTTTAGTGCTGTTATTTATTGCAACACATGCCGATGAGCATACCCGGCCAATATTTCTGTATAGTGGACAGAGAATCTTCACCCCTTAGGAGAACATGGTGGTGTTTGCGTATTACACTATCTCTTGTGAACCAAGCAGGTGTTGGCTTATATATAGAAAAATTATTAAACTTTTCAAATGTGCATGTTAAAACATAAATAACACGTATTTAAGTAAAATATAAAACTAAAACCTAAATACAATGCAACTTTCTATCTAACTAACATATTTTTAGGTAAGAAATAATGCTAAAGTGGCAGGGACAAAGCAGTAACAATGCTCAGAGTGATTTGACTAGTTTTCTATATAATTCTTTGCACCAATTTTAAAATAACATTAAGAGAATGTACTTCAAAAAGTGCTCCTTCCATTGGTTATGAACATTTAGCTGAATTAAGTATTATTGGCTGAGAAATCGCAACTCAATGGTAGAAAGTGAGCGTACCATCTGTCAGAAGTTCAGAGAGATTTATTTCTACTTTCTCCAGACTTGCCCTATGAAACTTGAAAGAAGAATGTGTAAAGAGAGAAATTAACCTAGATTTTTTCTATATGTGGAAGGTTAGCACGAATCAAGAAATGTTCAAACTGCAAAGACACAAATTTAACATTTTGTTAACTTGCAGATCACGAGAGAATAAAACAAAACTTTAAGAATTTTTCATTAAGGTTTCTTTTAAAATAAAGGAGTTAAAACTTAAATAATATAAAACTTTTAACTATAATGTAAGTTTTAATGCTCATATCATTGACAAATAACGATCATAAAATAGCTTAATTAAATTTTAAATGTAACTAAGTAAAATGTTATGATGTGCAGAAAAGGGTCACTATAAGGAAGTAGTTAACAAATTCACACTAACTACCATCTATTGATTTATACTGGTTTTCTGCCACTGATATTTTATGTAATCATAACACCATTATAAACAAATCTCTATAACCTTTATGAACAAAGGCAGATGACCAGTCAAAACTGACTTTTGGAGCCTCGGTTGTGTAATTTTAATTAGTCTGCTTCACCACCTATGTCTCTTTAACAATAGAACAGGTAGCATGAAGATATTGAAATTATAGCCTCAAAAATTAATAAAAGATGTAATGTTTACATACATACACACACACACACACATATCTATTTGAAATAAAAATAGAATATTGACTCATTATATTGTGAAATATGAAACTTTCACTTAAGTTAAATAAAGTGATGCAATAGTAAGAAGTTACCAAACTTACTGTAAGTAACATATATAAACAAGTTTTTGAATGCCACACTTCCAATACGTGGTCTAGTTAAAGTGTTGTTAAACCTTGAAAACTTACTGAAAGGAACACCTGCACACATAAATTTATACACTAGTAAATTTCCTGTAAAATATATACTGGTAAATAAGTTGAGTGTTACCAGATATTAATTTAACTAGAGTATTAAATTATGAGTATACTTGTTAAGAACTTAGAATTTGTTTAGTAGTATAAAATATTTATTAACCCTCTCGCTATGGGCATCTTTTTCTGCACATGTCACAAGGTTTTAGTGAGTTACATTTAAAATTTAATTAAATTACCATCTTCTCATGGTATACCAATAAATGTAACTTAAAAACATAGCTGATAATCCATATTTTAGTAGTATGTAAGTTTAATTTCTTAATTTTTAAGGTAATATTAAAAAATCCTGAATTTCTCCTAGTATGAGAGATGTGATGTTTCCTCTCTAAATATTCCCTCTTCTCTATTTATTTACTACCCCCTCAAAGAAATAAGAAACTTAACGTACATTGCTCACTGTAATGTTTTCACCACTGAGGAAAAGCAAAATTAACCCCAAATTAACATTTTTTAGTTTCTATATTCTAACTTCTAATGTGTTTTGTGTACATTTATAACATTTCACAAGCTTCCACTAATGATTAAGAATCACTTGTAGACAAAAAAATCAGAATTTTAATCAAGTGTTGACTACTCCAAGTGCAAGTTAATTTTC